AGACCCGTCCCGAGAGAAAAAGCAGTTTTTCCCCCAGCCACTCCGAGACGCAAAGAACCGTGCGGTACTGCAAACAGGGTTTGTGTGGTTTCATGGGTTCCCAGCTGTGGGTTTCTGATCCCAGCTGTGGATTTTTCCCCTCAAGCCGTGGCTCGCTTGCTCCCAGGGGCAAGGACGTGGGGCCAGGCTGCCAGCAACCAGCACAGGGCAGTGCAGGCTGCCCCGCCCGGGGCTGAGATTTCTTCCTTTGCACATCTCAGGTTCCATTTTCATCGCACCAGATCTGCTCCCCCTCCCTCACACCCAAAGGCCACCACTGGGAGCCCGTTTTGGGCCCCCTGCAGTCAAGCAGTGCCCTCACTCCGAGGAGGGTACGCCTCTACCTGTCCCATCCGGCGTGCTGCGGACAAAGGTGGGCAGCATTTTCACTTTGGCGGTCTCGTGAGTCTTCTTCTTCAGCCCTGCTTCCATCTCCGCCCTCATCCTCTTCTTCACCTGCAGCAGCTGCTCGTGGGTGAGCTTGAACTCGGCCAGGGTCTCGTCGATGAGCCGGTGCTGCTCTCAAAAAGCTTCTCCGCCACCCGGTACGCTACGGCCTTCACCATCGCCGCGCCCTTCCCGCTGCCGCTCTCCGACAGCAGGAACCTCACCTCCGAGTCGGGCACCAAGCGCCGCGTGGTTTTGTGCAGGCGCCGCGCGTACCTGCGGGAAGGGGAGGCTGCAGAACTGCTGTCTGCGCTGCCTCCCCTCTAGGCCCCAAACCCACCCTGACTGCAAGGGGAGGGACGAGGCTCACTGTGCCCAAACTAGCTACAGCCTCCCAAGCAGGAACACTGACAGCCAAGAGTAGTTCTTCCCACAGCCTCCTTCCTCCTGAATTTCTAAGAGAAGCCAGCAAAAAGCAGGGGAGAGCATCAGTCTCATCCCTTCAACCCGACCCTAGATGGGAAGAACCTCCTGGCTCCACTGCTGTTCCAATCCCCTCTCCTGGGGTCATCTGAACTCACTGGTTCAGATGGTGTGAGGACACAGAAACCAAAATGGCCCAAGTATGGTATCTTAACACTCACTACACCTGCCCATCTGCAACAGCTAGTCACAACAGCAGTCTTGGAAATTCTTTTTGTTGGCCAAAATTTTATGTTTTAACTAAGGAAAATATTTTTTTCAACAAAATAATGAGAAAATGAAAATGAAACATTAAACATGTTTCTCCTTTCAGAGGTTTCCTCACAAATCACACTCTGTAATTTCTACATAAATCTAAATAGCTGTTTGATTCAAAACATAACTTTCAAGATGGGGATAAACACGACAGGGGCAATTTTTAAAAGGCCATGGAAACTTGAGCATCGTTATTTTCCCTGGTTTCCAAGGATCTCTTCAGAAAAGACTGGAAAAACCAGGGTTCAGCACAGGCATTTTAAAACAATTGAGTTGAAACTGAAAATGGAGATGAAGCTGCATTAAATGTAGCTCTTCTCAAAGCCCAATTGATGAGCACAAGCTAATAGTTTATGTATGAAGAAATTCTCCTTCCAAGAGGCCTGTGGAGATTCCTTAAGGCATCTACTCAGTCCACTGCAGTTTTCAGTGACATCACAGTATCCAGTTACTCAGGGGTTTGGTTATTTTGTGGGGTTTTGTTGGGTTCTTAAAATTTCACACTACTTCTACACTTAAAGTCGTCTCTCCTTTCCCCTGAGCTCCCAGTCCCAGACCAAACGCTCACGCCCACATTTCAGGCTCCTCATCTCACGCCCAAACCTCCTGCCTGGGTGACCTCCCGGGGTGACATGCCTGCCCCTCTGCAAAGCAGAGGCTGCGGGGGTGAAGTTCTAGCGGCAGGAGCAGAGGGACTCACTGCGGATGCATCTTGTAGAGGGAGCCATCGACCCCCACGGTGGTGCGGAGGCGGCCGACCCCCTTGTTATCCCGCAGCTGGTTGAGGATGGCACCCAGGGTAGAGGCTACCAGGTTAGCCGAGCGGAAGGACACAATGGTGCAAACGTGCTGGACAGCGATGCAGTCCTCATGGGACGGTTCCACCCCCAGGCGGGTCAGAATTTCTTTGGCTTTGTTCAGACCTTCTTTGCTCCTACAAAGAGAGCAGCAAAGGGGACTCCTTAGTGGAGATGCACTGAGCTGCAGGACTGAGGCACATCCAGCCAAGGGTGTCCCTGCCTGGGGTTTGAGGTTAGAAAGAAAATACCTCAGATATCTGGACTGGGAAGCTCCATGAGGCTTGAAATAAAATGCTCTAAACAGGCATTCATTCACAGCTGGAAAGAGCCTGGTGCTACAAACCACACAATTCCAGGGAACACGGAAGCCACCCTCTGGGCAGGACTTGGAGGAATTAAATGCTTTTGTATCCCAATGATGTTTAACTTCAAACAGCTTCTCTTGAGCATGAAGCACCAGCCCCACAATGCAGCACCGGCCTGAGCACACACCTAACCCCACGCTCACTCGCTCATATGTCTCAATAAATTAAGACCAGCGTGATAAACAAGACCCTGAGCAAAGGCTGCATAAGCAATTTCATCCTATCAGGTCTCTGTTCAGGCTTAAAAGACCTCACTGCATCTCTGCCTCTTGCACTGCTTTTTCCCTTATTAGCATCCAGCCCCAGAGCAAAGCTTCTGGCAAAACTTCTCCATGTCCAGCTCACTCATTTCCCAGACAAAAACAAAACAGGCCTATCCTGTCATCACTAACTGCCCTCCATACGTCTTCTTAAGGATTCTTGCATCCTGCTAGCACCAGAGAGAAATCTGAAGCTGCACAGGGATGTGCCCCCAACTTTTAAATAAAGTGCTCCACAGGAAGCAAGGTGGAATTCCAGGGTAAATTTTACTCCTAGTAATTGAATTTCTCGATAACTGCGTTTTTCTCACTGCTGTTCAACAGGGTATTGGTCCATGACACTGACCTCAAATGAACACACATTTAAGGGAAAGCTGCTCAGATAAGTTAGTCTGCAGGGACAGGAACAAAACACAGCAGGAGGAACAGGCACTACAGAAGTTACTGACTGTCCCCTTGGCGCTGCACTCACCATTGACAGCACCTCTACGTGTGCAACAACAACAGCAGCATCTCACAGAGAAAAGCCAACCCAGTGACTATGGTACAAATTATCTCAGCAATCTGAATTTTAAAAACTCGGGGGAAGAGCCAACAAGTGCTGACCAAAGCGGTGATGACACACTACGGAACCACCCGGCACAGAGGTCACCACATAGCAGCCAGCACTGCCTACAAGACTGAATGTTCTGCCTGATCATACTTGTTTTCCTTTTGCCCTGCAATGTCAGGGATACAGCAAGGAACAACATAGGTATTTGCTCGGAGGCACTAAGCCAATTCGCTCCCATGTTTAGCCGCAAGATAGCAACTTCAGAGATTCTGAGTAGGGTAAGAGGTAGTACACCTCAACCCTGAAGCTGCACAGACTGGCAGGCTTAAGAGTTCCTCCCAGCACAGAAAAAGAGGAAATCTTGGGGAGGGGGGCACAGGCTGTCTGCCGGGGGTCCCCACATGTCAGCTCTGCGCCCGCACAGGAGGATGGCAGCCACCTCAGTGCAGCCTATCTCCCCACAAAGCAAAAAGAGATACTGGAAAAGTAACTTTCAGAGCCACTGTGAAGCCCAAGAGGTGAAAAGAGATTACTCACTTTTCTATGGCAGAAACGTGCTTTGTCTCAAACTTCCCTTTGGTGAGAAGCTCAGGGGTGATTCTCCCCTCAAAGAGCAGCCCTTCCTTGGCCATCTTCACCAGGATGAGCCTTACCAGCTCCCCCATGTACAACCCGCTGACCATCTTCTCAAACCTGCAGGAGAGGACAGCAGTCACCTATCTCCCCATGAGCAGCACTGGGAGGCAGAGCCCAACTGTGCCACCATAGTGTCTGTCCCCACCAGGGGTCTGCCTCACCAAGGCAAGGTCAAGCTTTCTCGAACTGCCCAATTCGTAACCCGAGTAGGAAAAGTAGCACGGAGCATAAACCAACAGAAATAACTCTCTCACTCACAGTTGCTTCCCAGGATTAAGGGATCCACGGTCAATCTCTCGATCGAACTCAGTCCTGATGTCTTCCAGCGAGCCGTCATCCCCGAAGGCTCCCCACTCCGTGTTAATGCACATCCTGCCCTCGTCCCCTTCCACAAGGTCAATGTGCCGCATCTCCTCCATGTAACAGGCATTGGTGCCAGTGCCTTTGGGGAAAGGACATCAGAAGGTGCTAACCAAACAGGCCAGGCAAAGGGAGAAAAGGCACGTGCATGCCGCAGAGGCAATGTGCGTTACCAATGATCAAGCCAACTTCACAACGCTGGTCATCAAAACCACAGGTCATCATAGTCCCAACAGTGTCGTTCACAACAGCCATGATATCTGCATCGTAGTCCTGATGGAGGAACAAAACATTACTTGGGCCACATCACTCTTCAGGAAAACACTGCTCCTGTTTACCACTGGTTTGTTCATATCAAATAGTTTCACAAGGAACAGGAGACAAATATTTGTCTGAATACCACAGCTCATCTTTATAAATATCCCTTTTCATCTGCCAGCTCCCTCCCTCATGTGCCCAAGGCGGCAAAGAGAGCAGACTAATGCACCAGGCAAGCAATAAAACAGCACTAGCATCCTTCCAGAGAGCAAAGGCCTGCTCTCATATAACCAGCCTTAGGCAGGAGAGAAAGGTCTGTACATGAAGGAGGAGGAACTGTGCACTTATACATCATGGAATGATTTGATGCAGTTGCTTGCAGAGTCAATCTATAAAATATTTCTCACAGCATTGACTTAAAACATCTAGGAGTTTTATTTCAAGTGAAGATTTTAATACACAAGTAATGCAGTTAAATAAGCTATCCAAAGGATATGCATTTATTCCTTTCCAGGTTCTTCAGTGTATGATTCTACCAAATCCAGTAACAGTAACTAATTATAGTAATGTTGTTCGGTGACAGCAAAACTCAGGTTTGCTTAAGAGTCCACAACTGCCCAAAGAGAGCAAATACTGCTCAGCTTTCAATGACTTTGGATACTGAGTAATCAACTTATCACCTGGCTGCAAGCATGATGCCAACCCAAATTCATTCCATCTCACACTCCGTGCTTTTTGTTTATTTAAATCAGCAGCTTGGTCACCTTTACTCTCTATAAAGTCAGCAGTGAGAAACTGCAAGGAGCAACACAGCTCACCAAGCCTGAAATCTCCCTTCCCTTCTCCTCTGCTCCTCCTCTCCTGCTCCCACACATGGCAGGTGCACAACTGAGCAACGTGAGACACGGTTTCTTGGGAATGGGCCACCCCGGTCTCACTGAAAAGCCACGGCACTGACACACAGCACCTTCTCAGTTTCTGGAGAGCAGTAAGTTGCTGAAGGTTGCTAGCAAAAAGCCATGAGACAGAAACTCCGTTCTGTGCCGTGAGGCAAATCACAGCTTCCACATAATAACACTGGCATTGCTTCCTTTTTCCAGCAAGCAGCAAAGATGCACATTGTCATGCAAGAAAGCAGAGCTCCACCATCACGCAGACCACCTGCTCACGTGAGTGACCTGAAGGGTGGTCCCTGACAACGCCAAGACAGACTTTCAGAAAAATGAAGTACAATTTACCCCACGTTTCTTGATGGCCCTGTTAAGCAGCCTCACGACATCTGCTCCCTCCACTCCGCTCGCCTTGAAGCGCTTTGTCCAGGTTATCAGAATACCCTAGTAAAACAAGACAGCAACATTCCACAGGATGCAACCATAAGACATACATTGAGTAGTTTTCTTCCTTATAAATAAGATTCTATACTTCAAATCTCAGGTCTCTCTTCTTGTAACAACCCAACCTAAGACAATTGGTGGTCTTACAGCCTAATTACAGTAAGCAGAAAGATGGAAAACTGCTAGAAAAGATGGAAACCCCTTTCCTGCCAGAAAACAGTGTACTCACATTTTGTATTTCCAGCCTACTCCTCTCCCTGTGATTCCTCGACAGTTTTTCTTGGAAAACCATTTAATCCTTTTGGACCATGGAAATAGACTGCTTTCAGAAAAAGCTGACTGTGCCAGACTGACTACAGAGAAGGGATGTGACGTTGCATGTCCAGGACATGGCTGCAGCAGGGATCAACCAGGCACATTGGTTTGCTGCTTGAGGTCCTATCTGTCCTGGCTTGTTTCACCATGGGATCATGTTTATGGGTTGAAGAAAATGGAAATACTGGAAATGTAGCAATGTATGTCCCCAATTTGCAGCACTGATCGAAAAGGAAATCCTGGTATGGAATTCCTTGTCTGCAAACTGTCGTCACAGAGTGCCTGCAAATCCCCCAAGGTAATGACTACATCTGAGCTTTTATCATTTACATAATGCCTGGCTGAATCAGAGCATTCAGTATGAAAGAGAGTAATGATAAAAGAGTGCTGACAGTAGTCAACAGGAAAGATAACTCAAATCAGCTCAGCTTTCCATATCCACCACAATATTCACACCTGCCACAAAAGGAATCCAAGAAACTAAGAACCAGAAAAGCTGAAGCCTGTAGACACAAGCAGCCATTGCCCAGGTGTGTGCTTGCTCGTATTTCAGCCACATCTTGCGCATACTCGCCCTCCCAACTCGGACAGCTACAGCAGACAGAGGGTCAGGACAGCTCTGTCCAGATCAGGAGGTATTCTCCTACCACTGGACCACAAAACAAAGTCTGAGTAAGTTTTGCCACCGTGTAGCTTTCACTGGCATCATTTAGAAACCCAGCAAAGTCCCATGCTGCTGTGCAGGGAAGCCACGGGCAGTGCTGTGCTGGCACAGCTTTCGTGGGCTAAAGGGCACCTTGTTCCACATAACTTTTATAAGAAACTGGCCAAAGCACACAGCAAAGAGCAGCTCCCCTCAGAATGACTGGCCAACTGTGCTGGAAGGAGTTTTTGCTTCACCAGCAGCAAGGCCCTGGCAGCAGGAAGGAGCCCTTGGAGTGGGACCTAACCATGTGGTGCCCATCTTGCCACACCTGGAGACAGCAGGGACCACCCTGCCTCCTTCTCCTCACCAAGCACAAGAAAACAGCACCCAGGCAAGTCCAGCCTCACAGAACCAGCAATCCAGGAACAAACCTAGCCCACAGAATCCAGAAAAATGTGTTTTTCAAACACTCAAAATACCACAAAAGCTCTCAAAAGAGTTTTGCTTTTTGTTTTTACTTAAGAGACACCCTGTCTCTTACGATCCCCCTCCACTCTGCCACTGCTCAGGTGTCCCTGAGGTACCCCAGCTGCCTGCCTGCCCCACAAAAGCACCATTCCATCCCAGCTGGCTGCAGCAAACCTGCCCACAAACAAGCACCTTTCTTCATGTAGCTAAACAAATCTTCCCAAGGGCAACTTCGGTCACATCCCCAGCACGGCTCTGCTGTGGTTGGTAGCCTGAGCCTTACCACAGCCAGCTGGGAGAGCTGCACCAAGGTCAACTCATCTCTTCTGATCCAATGCAGGAACAGGCAGCTCCGTGTTCTGAACTCTATTCAGATCCTGAGTCAGTCAGCACCCTTGGGTTCAGCTCTCAGCACCACTCAACAAGTACAAATGTGAGAAAAATCATGCCTCACCTGGCCCTTGTCAGCACCAGCATCTGGGAAGCTGTTGCACCAGGCTAAGCTAGAGACCTGCAAGCTGGAAAAGCAGTTCATGCACCTGCTCTGTGCATCTTGGGTAAATTTCACTCTCCTGCATCAATTTTCTACACCGTTCCCATAGTAATGTTGTACTGGGAGGCTGCTGAGTCATTTGGGCTACAACAAGCAAAAGGAGGAAAGCACCACAGCATCCTCGTCATGGGAGCCTCATCAGTCCCTTCCCCAGTGCCCCCCAGGCCCTGTTAAAGCACACTGCCCTCAGTGCTGAGCTCCAGCCTGCGGCACACACCCGGACCCATGAGTGCACTCCTGAGGGGCAGCAAAATCTGAGCAAAAGCTGCTGGGCTGCCTCCTTCCCAGGCCCACTCCATGGACAGGTGAAACAGGCTGCACAGGAGGCAAGAAAAAATGCTGTCATGTTTCCAGGGTAAACCGTAATACTGAGGAGCATACACAGAGACAGCATAAAAATCAGATGCCTCTTCCTCATATGTTATCCAGCTCTTTCAGGCAGAAACATGAACACAAACACAGCCTGACAGTGAAATATAACAGACATTTATCCTGAAAATGAGACCTGTCTGGGATACTGCTTTCATTGCAGCATCTTAACAGCACGGCAGCTCTTCTGCATATGAAGAGAATTGTGAAATCTTCTTACCTCATCTAGCTTGGTCTGTCGGCAGGGAAATGAAAATGTAAACCCAACTGGCAGTTTCTTGTCTTTGATTTGTTGTTTCTCCATAAAGTCTCCCAGGCATTCAGCAACGTGATCAAAAAGCTACAAGGAAAGTACAAACCCACCATGACTAGAGGCACAGCTTCAGGGAGAAATGTTTCAAACTGCAAACAAGTTGCACCAGGTGAGGGGAAAATACCAGCTCCGAGTTTTAATAAGCATCACAGTTCTGAAAATACTCTCGGGCAGTGTGTATTAACACCTTAATAACTGACAAATTATGAAACCACAGAATCACAGAATGGTTTGAGTTCAAAAGGGCCTTAAAAGATCATTTAGGCCAACCCCCTGCCACGGACAGAGACACCTTCCCCTGGAGCAGGTTGGTCCCAGCCCCATCCAGCCTGGAATTGAACACTTCCAGGGATGCAAGGAAATGCATTGTCCTTTTACACACTGAACTCCACAGGCATTTTTTTACACTCATATGAAAACACTCTTCCTGAAAGGAGGGGCTCATGGCTCTCAAGCCTGCTGTAAATCTGCCACTTAACATTTCGTGAGAACAAAAGCGTTCCCTTAACCCTTCAGGAACAGGAACATTTGGGATCCAGTCCCACAGGAGGTTGGGTGCAAAGATAACATCTGCCTCGTCCAAGCACTGCTGAGACCAGAGAACTCAGCACTTTGCAGAAACCACTCAAAAGGACATCATCTCTCAAATCTACTCCTAAAGCACACAACAAACAAAAAGGAAACCCAAGGAATTCATCTAAATATTTTACATGCTCCGAGAAACAACCCAAACGGGGACTTTTTCTGCATTTTTTTGAAATGCTGAGCTATGCAGCAGCCTGTGCCAGGCTTGTAGCACCAATTCCCTCCCAGGTACCTCGATGGCACCTGGGACCACAGTACTGTGTGTCCCTGCCAGTCAGGCCAGGAACCAGGTGGGCACCAAGGCCTCTCACACCAAGCCATTTGAAAACCCCTTAGGTAGATTTCAAAACTCAAAGCTGAAATCAAGCCCAAGCAACTGAAGCAACAAAATACACATTTTGTATTGACCAATACCAGAAAGCCAGGCATGCCTTGAGCTGGCCCACACCACAAATGGATGGCAAACTGCTAAAAGGCTGCTGCCTGTCCCAGGAGATAACTGTGCTTCACATTTACCTCCCTGAAAAAAAAATCCAAATGAAATAAACCCAACCCTATCTGCAGCATTGGCGGGATGAGGCCAAGTAAACTGCCCAGAAAACTGGGGATAACTGGGAAGGAGTACAAAAAAATATCCATTGGTTCCACACAACTTACTCAAGAACAATTCAGAGCCTTGGAGAAATGGGAATGCACTGCAGACAGGCTGCAGCAACTACAAACGATGAATAGGAATATTCTGCCCTTTGAAGCAGGTCAGGAAGTGGTGTGTGTAATGTTACAATTAAACTGAACACCTTACACCAATTCCTTAAATGAGGTCAGATTTGATTAAGCAGAAGCACAGTAGTTTCCCAGGGAGAATGTTGCCATTCATTGTCCTGGCCAAATCAAGGACACTGCTAAGCCCACGCAGTGAAACCACATGGGAAAGGAATGTACACTGCTGCACCTCTGAAATACTATTTTCAGCCATCCAGATGAGGGAGAGAGGAAGAGGAACTACAGTTAAGCAATAAAATGGAACAACTTCTCCAGGAGGAACACAGAAATAACAGGAGCATGTATTTTTATTATGCTTTCCATCTGAAAGTATCTGGCTGAATACTCAGTCCTACTAAACTTTCAGCTGCTTCCAGGACTACAAACAAAAACCAGGGGCCAAATTCAAACCCCTCTGGAGTTCAGAGAGCAGGGAGCAGAAATATCGACTGCGTACGCTGCTACAAAACTCCCACTCATGCAACGAACCACGACCCCGAGACAGGATCTGCTTTGTAAATCCAAACACAAAAAATGCCTGGGCATTCCCAGTGGGTTCTGAGAAGTCCACGCACCTGCTGTGTTGGCCCACACAGTCCTGGCAGGACCTGCTGAGGCTCACCTCCATGAGTCAGCAGCGCACTGTGAGTCACTTGGGCTCTGGGCGGCGAGTGTAAGTCATGCATAACCCACACAGACAAATGTAGTTAACTAATAGCCACAATTTGGGCACTACAGTCACCATGTCTGTTCAGTGAGGCACAGTCTGTCTGTGCTACTGGTGTTAATAAAGCACAGAGGGAAGGCACTGCTCAAAAGCAGAAAAGAGAGAGGCATTTATTCATTTTGCTACCATGGATGCTCATAAGATTTTCCTAAGGAGGTTTGAGGAAGCTTCTGTATGTGCCTATGCCCATATAAACACACAAACCTTACCAGTGCCAAATGACTCCTATGGATCTCATTAAAGTGGGGCAGGTGGATTGAGGAAAAATCCACATCCCTGTCCATCCACAGGTGTGCAGTAGGGAACAATGTGAGCCCAACAGTTTATCAAATGTCGAAGAGATGGACAGAGCAAACACTGCAGTCAAGAAGAAAGGATCAGCCTAATTTTATACCCTTATAGTCCTGGGGCAATACAACCATGAGATGTGGTGCAAGTGATAAAGTTTTATTAATTCCTCACACCATAGAATTGCCTGCTCAGGCTGGGCTCCAAGGACACATCTGGTTGTCAGACAGGAGACTCTGGCATGCAACTGAAGATCTGAGCTCAGGCTCAAACCCCTGAATGGGGACGATTTATGGAGCAAAGAGACCACAGCTTCAGTCCAGCAGAACAGCCACAAAAACACAACCTACCTCCAGTGACGGCAGAACACAAAAAGCAACATCAAAAATCAAGCCTCAGGCACACTCCTGTTCACTGAGCTGACATGCAAAACAGGCTTCTTACAAATATTAGACACAGCTGAAGTCAGTGAGAGTGCTCTTGACTTTGACAGGGAACTGTCTCTGACTGGCAAACCATGACAAAACGCCATGAAGTAGAAAATATCAAAACAAACCGTGCTAGTGAGGCTTGAAGACATAAATCACAATTCTTCAGGACGGTGATTACATATTAAGCTTTGAGAGTATAACTCGCCGAGGTTAATGACACGCTTGCTAGTATCATTAGTAGCCCACTCAGGCAGCTCAGTCCAAGCACTCTGGCTCTGAGATTTCAGAAAACCTCAACTGTATGCATCCATCACAGACACCAAATCATCACCTGTCTACGAGCCTCCTGGGCACGCTTCCCTGTAAAGTCACACGGCCTGCACTGGATATTGCCATGGGACAACTTCAAACTTGGATGATGCTTCCAGTTATCCTCTTCTTTTTCTAGTTCTTAAATACTGGAAGCAACTGCGTCCACTGAGTCAGTGGAAGCCTTGCTCCCCACTCTTTGAGCTTAAAAGCCATGACAAAGCCTATCAGCCTGAGCTCCAGGCTGCTGCTTCCCAACAGCCATATGGCCTTCGGAAATTTAAAACGTAACATATGAACATGACAGAGACATGGAAAGAAAACAGACCTGATGTCTCTTTTCCTGGCTTCTCCTTACCACTGTTATCACGTCTCCATCAAGTCTCCCCTTAAGTCAGCCTGTCTTGTCACTCCGGGACAGACGCTTGCCCCCGGGTGTGCAGGCAGCCCTCCTGTTTGTCAGCCTCCAGCTCTCAACACTCACTGATGGACAAGCAACCCCCTGCTCCAAACCTGCCCCTGAGCAGCCCACCCAGCTTCCTGGCCTCTAACAGCAACAGGCAGCTCAGTTCAGTTCCCCTCCAAAACTGTTCTGTGGGACAGCCACTCCATGACCTCTGGGTCCAAAAAGAAAGCAATAAAGGTTAGTAAAAGTCTTTACAAGCAGGTTATTTTCTTGCCGCGGTTAAGACATCACAGCAATGCTTTCAGCACTTCTGACAAGCCATGATTGCCACCTCACACTCACTGCTGCAAGGAATGCAGCAGCACTTATTAGATACATACATTAACGGTACCAAGGTGACCACAGAAAATATATTAATGGTAGAAATGCTGTTCCTATAAATTTTCTTTTTCTCCTCTTTTCTTACGCTTCTGAAACAAGCTTTAAGCTTTCTGCAGGTCTCATACTCCAAAACAGCACCTCATTCTAGTTAAAGTGTTAAAAACCTGTTGTTTCCAACAATGAAAGTTACTTGTTTTGCCATATGCTGACAGAGACAAATCTGTCAGTAAAATACTCTTTGCAGTCCACTTCCTGATCATAAAAAGAAAGTAAATTCTTCCAAAGAACCCAATTTGAAATCCAAGTGAATGGATCCAAACATTTTCTACTCTTGGAACTGGGAGACTAAAAAAAACCAAACCAAAACAAAACAAAAAACCCATTTCAACTATTCAGCAAAACTTAAGTTGAAGCTATGCCAAAACATTCGATCAGCTTCTCGTAATTTTTCTAATGTCCTTGTACTTTTCATGAATGCTGAGTTGCTCAGACTGCCAGCACAGATATGTGGCTGTCATGGTGATTTCTATCCCTCATCTAACACCACAATTGCAGGGCTGGTCATGCCCATGCTCACAAAGACTAAGTTGTTTTCCTGCTCTCCATTTGTACTTGTGGAAAGTAAGTTTACTAAAAAAGCCAGGACTTTCTAGGCCAACATACCCAAAGGTCTAGCACACAACTACAGCAGATGTGCAGTGCCCACGCATGCCCTGTTACACTGAGTACTGCTTATTTACCTTCAGTGTCCACACTGAAGCTGAGTATGTGCACGCTGTAGGTGCAGCTGTGAAGTAGCTGAGGCTGCTCTTGTGGGGATTTTCTAACACCCAAGCAGCTGATCTTTAGAGACGCCCCAAGGAAGAGGTGCTTACCCGTGTTCCGCTGCCATGCATGATATCCTCAGGGGTGTTATAAATTTCAGTTTCCATCTGCACCGTCTGCTTTTTTTCATGCGATACCTTCACCCGCAGAATTCGGAAATAAGAACCACCAAGATCCAGTGCAATGAAATCTCCTTTCTCTACATGGAAAACACGACACAAGTGATTAAAAACTGTATGCGACGCAAATCTGAGAAACATCAAGCTCAGATAAGCACAACATGTAAGTGAATGTCCAGTGCCTACAGCAAGGAAGCTCTAGCTGCAGGGCACCCACGGGAGCATAACCTGACTCCCTAGAATTCAACATGAAGCTGGGGCAACGGCAACACCAACCTCCACTGATACACAGGCAACTGCAACGAGGGTTTATCAAAAAAGAACAGACTAAGAGTGGACAGTCTGCACCCAGACCTCATGATGAAGCTGGCAGAGCATGGATCTCAGGAGAAAGCCAAAAAAGATGCTGAAAATCGAGACACTAAAATGAAGGGATGACAGATGCTTATTTGGCAAATAAGAGTGAATGGTGGCTGGACTGAGCATACTCAAATCAACAAATTACACACAGAGGTAATTAAAGTAGGAACCGCTTATTTCATGCCCAGAAAGGCTGAGATTCACTGCAAACTGCAGTCAGAAAACAAGTCAGAGCAATAACAGCCTGAAAAACCATGGAGTACTCCTGTGCTGCTGCAAGAGTTACTCAGAAGTCACGATCCTTTGCACACAGCTCCTGCATACCTCCCCAGGAGGCTACCTCCATCTCCCTCTGTGGTGGAGAGGTCTGAAGCCAGGAGCACTACCCCCAGCTCCACAGAGTTCAGGGTACAATCCAGGTGGACAGAGGCCCATGGCCTGGCTCTCTGAGCAATCATACTTTCAGCACCCCCAGAGAGTAAGGCAAATATATTTGATTGATCCACTTGTGCTATCTCACCTTATCAATGAGGGCGCAAAGCCAGCAATAGTTAAAGTCTGTGAAAAGGTGATATTTAGGGACACTGTGCACAGCTTATCACACAGGACTGTGTGCCCAGGCTGCAGATAGTCACCAGGGCTCTTGGCAAACATCCGTGTCTGTGCACGGCACCCCCGGCTCGTCGCTGAGGCTGCTCAGATGAGATGGTGCTTCCTCATCGAGCATGACTTTAGGAAGGCCATTCCTAACACGGCCAGTTTTCCACTTCTCCCTAAATTCAATGTGGAAAGACCTCTAGCAGCTGGGAAGACTGTTCTGACACGTCACCTCCAACAGATTCAGTTCCCAGACCCCTCTGACCCCACACAGTCACCAAAATACCAGGTATGCAAATTATCCATGAGGATTTCCGGATTCAGACTCGCTTCTGAGATTATTCTGTTCAATCTCAGACCACAACCTCTCAAGGTTGGCTTAGTGAACTGTACCTCCACACCACCCCACACACCTCAGGGAGCCTCATCCTACTCAGCAGAGCTGATGAGCTGGACAAAGTGTCTCTCAGAGCAGGACCTCAAACAGAAACAGCCCAGGAGAGGCAAAAACACTGCAAAAGCCCTTATGATTTTCCAAGGTTGCAGGAAAATACAGAAACACAACACTGCCATGTGAGAAACCACACAGAACAATAAAATCTGTACAGAAAAACGTAGCGGAATGACAGTGGGAGCCCATAACTTCTAAGAATTCTCCTATTTCTCCTGCAGTGTAACTTTTCCTTCTTGCTGCTTAAAGCATGGGCAAACTTGTTTGCCAAACAACAGATCCTGCAGTGCTTCCCTCCCTGTTTCTGAGCAGTGCAGCTTCAAACATCACTTGGCTCCAGTACAAATGTTATTTAAAGCACAAACATACCCAAACTGGAGACACAATTCCCTTCATTGTGCTCAGCTAACAAATTCAGTAACCTCAACCCCCGTCACCACAAGAAGCCTAGAAGTCAAACATTGACCACAAGTGTCTCATTAAGCCAAATACCCAAATAAGCTTTATCCTATGAGTATCATCTGTTGAGTGCAAGCCATTACCTCCAATAACTAATGGGAAAATCAACATTGGACCAGATGGCCCTCTTTCAAGCCTAAACACACCTCAGTACATGCCTCAAACAAATACTGCACTCCAGAAATATCTGCCCTGCAAATAAATTACCAGCTTGGCATGTTTGATTTCCAGTACCATCAAGCTCATCACAAGCTAAAATTTATTAAGAATTATCCTTCTCATTTAAAACCAAAAAAGAACCCTGGAGTAGAACGCAAAGCTTTCTGGATGCAAAGCAGCACTTTTCTTTCTGTGTTCTTCAGGAATTAACCCCCAGTAGCAGCATTTAATCTATGCTTTGTAACACCAAGCTGTGACCAAACCTGCCATGAATTTGTCTAGGAAGACCCTCTGAAAGCATTTTAAATTAGCCTGAGGTACCATTCTGGGCAAAAGAACCTTGAGGCTTTCATAAATTGAATAGCTCTCAATGAACTAAAAAAAAAAAAAGCCTGCTACCCTTCTCCAGGGTCTCCAAAATTATTGCTCAGAAGCTCCTTGCTACTAAAGCACACAGGGACAGAACTGAAACTAGACAGGTGCTTTTTTAAAGTTAGCTCCCATAATAATAATCGGACTCAGGGGAAAGAGCTTACGAGGCAGTAACTAGAGACAGGCCAGAGAAAAGGGCAGGCTTCCATCCTCTGGCTTTGATGGGGGGACAGCTGGAGGCAGAAATTGCCATCTCTGGGCACAGCAACGTGGCCACATCCGTGAGGCCCCCCCAGAACATCCTGGAGGAAGAGGGAAGGGGCTCCGGGCCTGCCCTGGCTGTATCTGTGCGGTGGCCGAGCCACTGTATTTGTAAGACTCTGGATCACGAGTGTGAACTGCATAAATCCAAAATCATCCTATGTGAAGTACTGATTGCTGGCAGACTAATCTCAAGAGTAAATGTACTGACTGACAGTGGGCTGACTGTTAAGAAGGGCTCTCCCATTGGCATCAGAATGGCTTTGACACAGAAATCACCAACTATGACACGAGAGGCACACGCTGCTGAGTCGGGGAGAGAAATGCCACGATACCCACCCATGGCAAACACTGCTCACACCTGGGGTCAGAACATGCCGTTTCAGGGACAGAGTGGAATGGTTCTGCCTGCCTTTCTAACAGCTATCCCAAGAGACACTCGTCACCTGCATGTACAGATCACTATTGTGTAGACCAGAAACTCTCCAGATCAAAGCACTGCCCACAGCATGCCCCAGAGAGGCTGGTAGGAGCCAAGTGGGCACAGGACCAAGGACTGAGCACCCTGCACAAAACACACAAGGCTGCTTTTATAAGCAGGTGTGTAATACATGATCTGAAATCAATGCCTTGGCATACAGACAGGTCTATGCTCAACCAGGGCCACCCATCCTGCCCCAGCAGCGTTCAGCAGCCTCTCACACCTCTCCTGGCCAGGTGCAGATCCTCCTTCTCCTGTACCATATGGCATCTCAAAGTCTTCCCAGTCTGTACCATAGAACAATTTGCAGAGTTATTTGCTTCGCTGATAACCTGCAATGACTGACAGAGCAGAGTACTGGGAACAGGCCTGTACTCACCTGAACTCAAACACACACGGTAGAAGCCACGGAGTCACCTCACCTCACCTGCAAACCCTTAGTGCAACCACTGCCCATCACCCAGCTGTGTGTGGCAGCTTCTTGCTTTCTCAACAGTCTGCAAGTTTCAACACAACATTGCAACACAACAGCCAGTGGTGCTAGATTAAGAGAAACACGGAATTCATTCTTCCTTTGGTTTCTTTCAGACAGAGAATCACATCTCAAATAAAAAGCTTAAGGTGGCAGAAAGCAACAGCAAAGCAGAACTATGAAAGATTTTCACC